CTAGTGATCTGAGCTATATGCTAAATCATTAGACTGTTAGACACTTATTTTATTTACTGATACTTGAGTCAAAAATTACTTGAGGATACTGAGATGCATTTTTGTTCTACTGTTCTCATAACTTACTTCAAGCAGAGTAAAAGACAACAATAGTTTTTCTTATAGCAAGTAGAATATTCAATAGATTTATCTTATTAATGAAAGACTTGTCAATATTTTCTAAAATTGTTATTTTCTAAATATAGAAAATTACTAAATAAGGAAATATTCCAAATAAGGAAATACTCTTTATATAGATATATACTATATACAGAATATTTCTATATAAAGTATATTACTATATCTAGTTACTTACTCTATATAGTTATTTTCTGAATTAAGTTAACTACTAAATTTAGCATATTACTTTATATGTAATCTTTCTATATATAGTAGTCTGCTTTAAAAGCATTAATTTATTATATAAACATATAGTTACATAGTTTAAAGAAAGATCCCAAACACTCTGTGATATCTATATATAGTTGTTCATAGTATAGTTATATAGTTTGAAAAAAGACCTCAGACACTCTGTGACATATATATATAGTTGCCTTTAGTATGAAAAATAACTATAGTTGAACTAGTATAGTCATATAGTCAGCAATATAGGCATATAGTTGCAGACTATAGTTGCACTAATATCAGTGATGGGCATGACCGCCTCAGACAGGGTCTGACCTTTTCGTCAGACGGAGTCTGGACCTTTGACCCCAAAACCATCAGAGTCAGCACATGAGCGTGAGGCCAGGCACAAGGGTCTGTTAATTAGCTAATATCCTCAAATCTAGTGTACATGAGTAATTATGTAATTATTGTTTTCTCATTATGCTCGTTCTGTAAGCCAGCCCGACTCCACCTTTTTCAATACTCCAGCATGACCCTCAAAAATTGAGTTGATGGCTCAGTCACAGAAGAAACAGATTCTTCAACTGGCTGCTCCATAATAACAGGATTCCGTTAATTCATGTGTCAAAGCATCCTTCATGCTGCTTGGAGTCAGCTGTTGCATCCCTAATGAATTCCTGCGCCAGATCTGAACGTTCTGGGACAACGACTTGGCCATCAACTTCCTGTTCTTGGTTGTCAGATGGAGCACCAGCTTGGGTCAGGGGTTGGCTGACACTGGAGGAGACGGGAGGAACTGTGTTTTTGGAAGCGGTTTGAGGTGCCATGGTGAGTTCCTCGCTCTGTGCATCAACATCGTCTTGACTGAACTTCTGTTTTTGGCCCAGAGCAGAACCAAAACTCTTCTTGATGAAGTTCTTGACAATATCACTCTTGCGCAATTTCTCTAGGTGCAACCTATTCCGATGTGTTGTGTGCACAACTTCCTGCTTGCTCAACACTTGCTCTGTTGACACCGAGTTTGCTTTCATGCTGAGGATTCGCCTGGCTAGATGAACAATTCTGTGCAACCTATTCTCAAAACATTGTTGTAATATTATGTGCTCACTTTTTATCAGGATTGTCTTTAAATTCCTGGAGGGCTAGTGCCTCATCTGACCACCTTCCAGCACAGACAATATATAGCATAAATGATTAATAGAATTTGGCATCCGGGGTGAGTTTCCAGAACTGTTTGCAACAGCTTTTGACCATTTCCCATAGCCCAGGGACTAGACAATAAGAACTGTTCGGATGAAAGCAGCTGGTTTAAAGGTAAGGGTTCAACACGACCACAAGGACAAAGATATCTTGATCAGCCTTCTTCCATTGTTTTTCCAGGCTTGCAAGAACACCTTCACAAATGATCGCATCCAGACAAGCTCCCCCCAACTCATGGCATTAAGCTCCTTATTAAGGATGCTTTTAACCTTGGCGTCAGTTCACCTCTTACACTCCACCTCATAGTTGCTTTTGTTCTGCTTGTACTTGGAAGTTCTGCAGTAGAAATGCAGCATATGCTTCCAAACCGGGTTGAATGGTCATATGGTAGGAAGAGAACACATGAGGTTCACTCATTGCTCAGAGGATGGGTACGTAGATAGGGAATAGTATCTCTCTGTTCAACAGTAACAATACATGGACTTCAAAATATTGAAAGACGTGCTGGCCCCCACCAGCGCATGTTGCCACTAATTGGCTGAATGTGCCCTGTCCTGCTAAGCCCCACTAAGTCCTTGCACATGAGCCCCAGATCACGCCCTGATGCCTTGACAGTTTGTTTGGGGGAGTCCTGACTGGGTCGGACCCCTTGACCCTGTCGAACCATCAGCAAGTCAGTGCTGACCTGAACATCACTGACTAATATAGTTGTAGATCTATAGTTAAACTATCTATAACTATCTATATGGGAGGCAGTCCAACAGGTTTAAATAGTTTATTATATTAGGCAGTCCAATGGTCTGGGGGGATAACTGAAGTGCTTTAAGTGAGTTGCCAGCTAACACAAGTTAGCTGCAGCACTGAGCTTGGGGAGCGAGGGGTTTCCTCACTGTAAACAAAGGGAAGGGGGAGGACAGAATGAGAGCCAACTGGGGAAAATGACCATTATGTTCAGATTATGTTGGAGTGACAGGAATAACCCCAGCTTTGCTTGAAGGGATATAAAAGTGCACATTTTCGATTTTTCTGGTATCTTGTGAAGTATCTTTGGTATATCTTTGGAACAAAAGACTGAGTCCAGGATACATTTTTGGGTGGACTTGGGTTCGTAAAACTTGGTGTCTGAGGATCGAGGGGAGCAATGTGCATTGAGGGTGACAAGGGGGTTGTAGAGGGCACTGATGATGGCCAAGATGGCCCCCTCCACCTGCAATCAATGCACAGCAAGCCGGGTATTGAAAACATACCATCCATCCATTGTTTGAGAGACAGCCTTGTCATCTAGTGATATATATCAGATTGGACTACTACCCAGCACCTATTATACATCAGGATGGGTAGTAGCCTGTTGGGCAACTGCCCAAGACGTCTCACAAGAGCATAGAGAGATGTCATTGTTGTAGGGGAGGGACATGACTGATGCCAAGACTGATGGCTAGTCATGTGACTTTTTATTTGCCTTTCCCTTCAGAGTCAGCCTCTGAAACTTTGATATTATGGCCTCAAAAGGAAACAATTCATAAATACATGATTGCCAGGCCCAGACTTGGCATTATTGAAGAGCAATAAAGCCATCAAGTTTGCTGATGCCATCAATATCAAAGTCACTTGTGATAAGTTGGACTTTGCAAAAATTTGGTCAAGTCCTCTTTGGCTCTACCTAGACAGAGACTAGGTGCCAAAAAAGCAAAATTGAGAGGTCATATGACTGTGAGAAAATTCCTTTTTGGGAAGAAATAGTTGAAATTGAAACCCTAGGCCTAGTTGACCCTGCCACCATCAGCACAACCTATTTGGCTTCATCGATGACAAGATATAAGCCAAACAATACCAAATTTTGCAAAAAGCAATCTATTTTCTCAGTAATTCGCATTTTTCTTGCCAACCAGAGCAGTTGATGGCATTGAACAACTTGATTCAAGGTCATCCAAAGGTGCTCCACAAACCCAGATACTTTTTTCCCAAAAAGGAATGATTATTAATAATCTTGTTATGTCCTCTATAAGCTGGGCTTGGGCAGTTGCCTAATGGGCTATTACCCATCCTGATGTATAATAGGTGCTGGGTAGTAGTCCAATTTGATACATATCACTGGTCACTACAGGTGTGAGAGATGCTTTCTGAGAGTGTAGAGCGAGAGCTGCTGAACCTGCCCCATATTGGCCCCACAAACATGTCGAACTTGGGCACATACCCAAGCCACGGCTGGAAGAGATAACTCCACTGTGCTCGATGTGATTCTGTGACCATAAAGTGACCCGCGAGGCCCAGGTGCTCCAGATGGACATTTACCAGCAGCAGCCGTTTGGGCAGAGGGATGCTTGAATGGTCTAGGGCCCAAAAGACAATGGACTTGGAGTTGTCGGCCTTTCCAATCCAGATACTGACGTCCTGTGCCAACGTCAGCATAATAACTTGATTAGAGGGCAAAGCAGCAGACCTTGGCGTCGCTCATGGCAAGGAGTGCTCCGGTCAGTGGGTGTCAACCAGGTTGTGGTTTGGGAAAAAATGCGGTATTGATGCTATTTAATTATTAGCTAACCCTTTATGTAATCCTCCTATTTCTTGTGTTTCTTTACCAACTTCAATGTGACCCCCTTCTTCTCTTGAACATGGGCATTGTTCTTTTGATACTTGGCCAAGAGCTTGCATAACCCTTCAACCACTGGCTCTGATTCGTACCAGCTGCCTCTAGTGAACAGATACTTGGATGTGGTCCACTTAAAGACGAAACCGCCCTCCTGGTGTGTGTGTGAAAGCGTGTGCATATCATAATGCAGGGACTTTTGAATGAGCCATGCAAACTTGACAGCCCACTGCTCATCTGTTAGTAGCATGTGCGCCTTGGGTGGGCTTATACATAGAGGTGATCTTGGCTGGGATACTGCCGCCTTGCGAAAAGACTCAGACACATTCATTTGTAAGAGAGGTAAATGGGACAGATGGCGCTTGTAGGTGTCAAGGGTGGCTTTGACCTTGGGGCAATTGATGTCAGCACCTCGTCTTCTGATGTAGGCCTCAATGGCACATTTGGCGCTTCTAGGGACAAAGTGGGTGTCGGAGTAGTTCGGATAGGCGTACATCCACAGAGAGATGATCATGCTGCTGAGCGATGTGAGGCTTTCGATGATGCCAATGGCTGCAAGGCGTTCGAATGAGTCATCTCTGTGCAGCCAGTGCTGTTAGTGATATGTATGAAGCTGGGCACTTGCCCAATATGAGGGATGCATCAGGGAGGGCAGTTCCCCAGCCCTATAAAACAGAGGCAATTGCTCTGTAAAAATGACGTAGAGGGGTGTTATGGACTGTGATATGTGACAGATGCCAAGTAGATCAACAAGTCATGTGACTTTCAACTTGCCTTTTTCTTCATGCTCAGCCTCCGAAACTTTGATACTCTGGCCTCAAATGCAAACAAATAGTAAATATATGACTGCTATACCTAGCATTGGTGTGATGCAAATGCAATAAGTCCATCAATGGTGCTGATGGCATCACAGAGTCACATATTGTGAGTTGGACTTTGGCAAATTTTGTTAAAGTCTCTTCATATGAAGCATTAGACAATTGCTAGAGGCTATTGATATTTCTTTAAATAATAGGCCATGTGACTGTGGGAATCAACTTTGTTTTGCATTTTTCTCAACAATGACTAATGCTGGTGATGTCATTCAAGTACTTTTAGGATCACCTGATCATGATCTACAACCCTGCACAATTTTTTTTTTTCAAAACCACCAATGTCTCGAAATTCTTTTGCATTTTTCTCAACAACAACTAATGCTGATGATGTCATTTGAATACTAGCAGGATCACCTCAACAAGATCTACGATCCTGCATAAAAAATTCCCAAAAAGGAAATTGGGCAATTGCCCAAGCTGTCACATCTAGAGCAAAACAGGCCTACAATACCAGTGTTTTAAGGCCTGGGGAACTGCCCTCCCTCATGCATCCCTCATATTGGGCAACTGCCAATAATCAATATATCAGCTGATAGCAACAGGTGAATGAGAAGCATGTCCTCGCCAGCCCTCTTGCTCAGATCCCAAAAGATGGGAAGAGGGGAAGGTGGCACCTTGTGAGACACGGCGAGGGCGACATTGTGAAAGTCGATGAGTGATTTTGCTTCCAGTTCGTCCAAATTGTGCAAGGCACCAAGTCCCATCCAACAGGCTGCTACAATGACATCCTCCAGGGCAAGCGTCTTCTGGTTTTCCTCGTCATGCCAAGTGTCATGCCATGAGCTGACAATACACCACCTGTAGCTGCCACCCTGAAGTATAAAAAATGGACAGTTGTCCAACAAAGGTTACACATCAGTGCACAACTATCCTCTTGGACAACTGTCCATTATGAACAGTTGTAGAGTGATATAGATGGCTATTAGATGTATTTAGTTTGTTGGACAGTTGTCCAATATATTTAAAAACATTGCTGACTAATATTTCCTTTTTGGAAAATGATGAAGGATCTTTTGATGACCCTGAATCTACTTGAATAATAGTGATATTCCTTATCATTGATGAGAAAAATGCAAAATATTTGAAAAATCCTAGTGGTTTTGAAAATTTGGCAATTGTTTTGCTCATATCTCAATGTAAACAATACCAAATAGCATTATTTATATAGTGCCAAAATGAGCTAATCTGGGGCTTTCCAGCTACATTAAAACTTTCCACAAAGGAAATTCTCATAGTCATATGACATGGCAAATAGTTGTTTAAAAGGATTTTTGCCACATTAAACAAATTTCCAAAAAAAAAAGGAAATTCCCACAGTCATGTGACTTGGCAAAAAATAGTTGCCTACACTTTGGTCAATTGTTCATACCAACAATAAACTGGACTTGGATAAATTTTTGCAAAGTCCAACTTAGCATTTGTGACAGTCACACTGATGAGATCAGCAATAAAGATGGCTCTATTTCTCATAAGTCACACCAGCATCAGGCGCCATCACTTCATATTTATTAATTGTTTCTATTTGAGGCCAGAATATCAAGGTTGCAGAAGCTAAGCCTGATTAAAAAGGCATTTAAAAAGTCACATGATCCTCTGAGCAGACTTGGCATCACAGTTTTATTTCTATATATATCTATTAGAAATTTTGCATTGCTTCAGGCAGGCACTCATCATTGTTGGACAGTTGTCCAAAAGGATAGTTGAAGGCTCTGATGTATAACCTTCAATGGACAATTGTCCATTAAAATATCTCAGGGTAGCGCCCATGGCTGCCAAGCTAGCACACAGTTTCCCGTCATTCTGAAAGGCTACCCCTACAACCACATCGACCTCACCACTAAGGACCTTGGGGAGAAGTTGAACCTGGTTGTTAACCAGGTGCAGTGTGTCCATGGTTGGTTCAGCCATGGCTGTTACATTAAAGCTTCATTTTGGGCAGTTGTCCAAGCACCTGGGTGCATCAGGGCACACAGGAGTCCTTTTGGGCAATTGTCCAACACGGAGAATTTCCCATTTGCTGGACTCTCCATCACACTCATTTTTGGTGTTCATTTTTGGTGTGCAACCCTCTGCTCACTGTCCAACACAGTGAGCAGCCTCAAAAAAGGGTGTACGGGAAAATTCGGCAAAAATAGCCGAAAAATCACGTGATTGATGGCACACGTGTGTGCATCATCATGGATGATTACTAATGTAAATACCACCAAATACAGCACAAAAAGGTGTTTTTCAGGTAATTCCAGCTCTCTCATGGCTCCAAAAATTAGGTAATGAATGTAGATTAGATAAATACATTTATCTGTGATTTATCAAATTATTTCCCACACCCCGCACAGCTGAGGGCTGTGGGGCATGCTTGATAGGGGCTATTATAATGGAGTGGGATGGTGGGGGTGTGTTCCAGGTGCCATGGGGGCCTAAAAATGGATTGGGCAGGTGCAGACATGAATGCTAATAATTATAATGGCTCCCATGGGGTGCGGGATGGGGCGGTGCAGCCGTAAAAGGAAAATTACACAAAAAATACAGAGTCTTTGGCATTTTTAATACAAAACAATTGAATATCAAATCAAAGACTTAATATTTCAGTGTAAAACTTTGAGGACCTGTTTATCTATAGTGGAGGGTGCTTCAGGAATATTTTGAGCATTTATTATGAATTATGGGGTGCGCCACACAGCAAATAGTGTGCACAGCAGGGTTTGATGTGTTTTACCAAATTAGGCAAATTTCAATGGCTGCACATCCGTGTATAATTCCGGCTTGCCCTCGCATTATTTCGCTTAGCTTTGGCTGAGCGAAATGTTGGGTACATTGATACCTTCCTGTAGCCACCACTATCATGTGAAACGAGTGGGAACTTGTTGAGATATGACAAATGCAAATTTGGCTGCCATAATGCATGGTGCACCCATGCATCCTTGGGCACTTTTAGGGCCATTTGAGTTGGCCAAAAACCATTAAATACATGTCTGAGAGTAATGGGACCATTGATAATGCCAGGAGGTGTCCAGGTATAGTAGATATGAGGGGGGGTATAGGTACACCAGGAGACCCACTCCAGATACCCCACTAACGCAGCTCTGAAAGTCTGAAAGCTTGTACATGGCTAGTATATATTTATTCATGAATTTAACAGATTTTATCATAATTTTATATGGTCTAGAAGCTGGGTTATTGACCGATTTCCCAGGATATAGAATATTCTATTGACCTCCAGGATGGGCAATATTGGCACATTTAAAATCATGATAAATGACAATAAATGTATAGTAACGGAATGAGGTACTTGTGGAAGTAAGAGTGTGTGTCTGTGTAAAGTTATTAAGAGCAGAAGGAGGAAGTAGTCCCCCACATCAGTATCTATGTAAATACTTACCAAATCCACATATCACACCCATTCAAGTGTACGTTCAGGTCAGGATAATGTCCCTCAGTAATTTCAGTAGTGACAGATGAGGCTCCAATGCCTGGGTGACATTGTATTGTAATATTAATGGAAAATGCACAAAAAACATGAAAATAATTAAAATGAGTACCTCAGACTTGCTCAAAAATGACCAAACTTCATATATCAGGACCTGTTGACACTCTGAAGAGACTGCAAAAGACCAGATGAGATTCCCTTGGCTGGGTGGAAAGATATGAGAAAGGGTATCAGAATGACAATAATGGGATCAACCTCATGTTACAACTTTGCATTGCAGGTAGTGCTGCTGGAATTCCTTTCTCATATCTTTCCACCCAACCAAGGGAATCTCATCTGGTCTTTTGCAGTCTCTTCAGAGTGTCAACAGGTCCTGATATATGAAGTTTGGTCATTTTTGAGCAAGTCTGAGGTACTCATTTTAATTATTTTCATGTTTTTTGTGCATTTTCCATTAATATTACAATACAATGTCACCCAGGCATTGGAGCCTCATCTGTCACTACTGAAATTACTGAGGGACATTATCCTGACCTGAACGTACACTTGAATGGGTGTGATATGTGGATTTGGTAAGTATTTACATAGATACTGATGTGGGGGACTACTTCCTCCTTCTGCTCTTAATAACTTTACACAGACACACACTCTTACTTCCACAAGTACCTCATTCCGTTACTATACATTTATTGTCATTTATCATGATTTTAAATGTGCCAATATTGCCCATCCTGGAGGTCAATAGAATATTCTATATCCTGGGAAATCGGTCAATAACCCAGCTTCTAGACCATATAAAATTATGATAAAATCTGTTAAATTCATGAATAAATATATACTAGCCATGTACAAGCTTTCAGACTTTCAGAGCTGCGTTTAGTGGGGTATCTGGAGTGGGTCTCCTGGTGTACCTATACCCCCCCTCATATCTACTATACCTGGACACCTCCTGGCATTATCAATGGTCCCATTACTCTCAGACATGTATTTAATGGTTTTTGGCCAACTCAAATGGCCCTAAAAGTGCCCAAGGATGCATGGGTGCACCATGCATTATGGCAGCCAAATTTGCATTTGTCATATCTCAACAAGTTCCCACTCGTTTCACATGATAGTGGTGGCTACAGGAAGGTATCAATGTACCCAACATTTCGCTCAGCCAAAGCTAAGCGAAATAATGCGAGGGCAAGCCGGAATTATACACGGATGTGCAGCCATTGAAATTTGCCTAATTTGGTAAAACACATCAAACCCTGCTGTGCACACTATTTGCTGTGTGGCGCACCCCATAATTCATAATAAATGCTCAAAATATTCCTGAAGCACCCTCCACTATAGATAAACAGGTCCTCAAAGTTTTACACTGAAATATTAAGTCTTTGATTTGATATTCAATTGTTTTGTATTAAAAATGCCAAAGACTCTGTATTTTTTGTGTAATTTTCCTTTTACGGCTGCACCGCCCCATCCCGCATCCCATGGGAGCCATTATAATTATTAGCATTCATGTCTGCACCTGCCCAATCCATTTTTAGGCCCCCATGGCACCTGGAACACACCCCCACCATCCCACTCCATTATAATAGCCCCTATCAAGCATGCCCCACAGCCCTCAGCTGTGCGGGGTGTGGGAAATAATTTGATAAATCACAGATAAATGTATTTATCTAATCTACATTCATTACCTAATTTTTGGAGCCATGAGAGAGCTGGAATTACCTGAAAAACACCTTTTTATGCTGTATTTGGTGGTATTTACATTAGTAATCATCCATGATGATGCCCACATGTCAAGATGCCTCTAGAGGATTTTATCTTGGGGGTCAAGGATAACAGCCGCATCCAGTGCATCTTAGACTGCCCCACAATGGATGGGAGCAAGCCCAACCTCATAAAGTGGGCATTATTCTTGCAGTTTGGCTGTGTTTTCTGAATCAGATCTAGATACATTGACAATGGCAGCGCTGCCTGGATGAGGCTGCATTGGGAGGCCCATGATCATCATCTCATTCCCATAGATGTCTAAAAGTCCACCTCCTGGCTCATCATGCACCAAGCGCTTTTCCACACATTCTTGCATCATGACACAGATGGCTTTGGAATGTGGATGCAGGTGCTGTTGGGGTACAAGCTGTGGGCATTTGTCAAGCATTGCAACCTGGACGGGTGCAAGATGTTTCAAGAGTACAGAGACACCGCCATTGACTATTCCAACCAGACACGTGTGCCCCATGGGTACTATGGCATGGAGTCCAACCATTTTGTCATCACTGCAGGACCGGGCGACCTCATGTGAGTCTTTGGGTTTGGATTGTGCCTCTTTTTGCTCATTGTCTCTCTAGCATCCAACCTACTGGGGTATTCCATGAGGTGTACACCCCCGTGCCCTCTATCACCCTTGGCAGCCATTTCTACAGGTACGACGCCACCCATCTGATGGAGCTCACCTGTTCATTCAGATTCCAAACAAATGGCTTGTTGACAAACCAGTCGCACGACAGTGCATTATTCACCCTTGAGATGATGGTTCTCATGCTGCCCAAGATTGAAGGCTGAGGCAGGTGCATGTATTCTATAGGCTTTGCAAGTTGCTGATGGATTACAGACTTTTACAGCAAGTCTATTGCAGTGCGCTATGCCGCATGATCTTGCGACCCAGGCAGTACACTGCCGCTCCTGCGTTGGATCCGGATGTGCTGATGGCTATCGAAGATGCGGCTGCCAAACGAAAATCGGGCAAAGAGTACTCGGTGACTACCGCACGCGCGAAATCGCTGGCCAACAATATTGTCCAAGGGCTGGGCCTGCCCCAGCACGCGAGGCGAGGGAAAAAGGCAAAGGCGCAGGATGAGGAGGACTATTTGTTTGATGATGGGCAGTGGAGCGACCCTGGTGACGTTGTCGACCTTGGCCCCATCCTTTGGCCATAGCTTGCGGGGTTGTACTTTCATTTCGTTGCACAGTTTGTGGTTGTCTTTTTGCTGTGCTTTCATTTCATCGCCTTTGGTTGTAATATATATTGTTGGCTGTTCAAATATATGTGCTTCCCGAAAAGGCAGTCTGTGTGCCAACCTCTTTTCTTTTCCATCTACCACCACCACCATATGCATGTTTCTGTTCCTCATGCTCTCATGAACCCCCTATGAGCCTTCTTTGCAGGTCAGCCAATGGAACCTGAGGCAGCGCCAACGCAGATGGCTGAAGAAGGGCCCATGCCTGTAGACAAAGAGCTCCAAGATTCTTATGCAGATGCCTACTATGAATGTCCGATGGACTCAAGGGAGCTGCTTGCCGCCGAAGGCATCGACGACGACTTTGCGTGGGAAGGGCGCGGGGCCATGTATGATCAAAGAGCTCCCATGGTCATATGGAGCGACAGGAGATGGACCTCGGTGCTGTACATTGTGGGCTCCAACAGCAGCAACACTGTAGAATTCGTTTGTGCTTCCTCTCATGCGCATATATTTGACTGATTTCTTGTAGCATGCAAAGAGGATCACCGATGCTGCAAGTAACCTCCACAAGAAGCTCTGCGGTCTAGCACTAGTTGACCATGACTATAGCGATGGCTGGATGGCCAAGAAAATCAGGCCCAAGCTGGCCGAGTGCGTTGTTGTCCTTGTCTGCAGTGAGCCGTACAAGGAGGTCCCTATGTCGTGCGAGAGCCTGTTCATGGAGCTCCATGTCTCCAAAAATGCTGAGGTCATTGCCTATGGTTCATGTCTGTGCTCATAGCCTGGACACAAATTGAACTTGTCCTGCCAGATCTCAAGGTAGGGTACCCCAATCCAATGCTGCTGTGGCAGTTCATCAAGAACCTCAACGATCCCACCAAGATACAGGCCGTGCTGAGCCACCAGACGCCATACATGAATCTCCTCGACGGCTACCTATGGCGAGCAACTTTAATTTACCCTTGCTTTTGATGCTGACATCCTCCTCAAAAGGTTTCTTGACGATGGCTACACTGTTGGGTGGGGTTCGCTATCTCTGTACAGCGACAGAAAGGAGCAGCCCTTTCTAGTTGATGAACACCGCACCTGGGTGCAGCTCTTCCATCCTCTGTACCATCAGTACAGCACCCATTTACCAGAGTGACAGGTGGCCTGCTTTCAAGGTCCTGTCCGGTGCTCTTGTCTTTATCATCAACAGCGGTGAGGGGGCTATGGAGGCGACGACCTGGGAGGACATGCTCAGGGCAATGGAGGGGCAGGACCCTGGGTTGCAAGAAAAATAGGAGTCGTGATATGAGGTGTACTCAAGGCAAGAGGGTCTCTCCTTTGTCCTTGTCTGTCCAGGATGCACCATGTGGGTGTTTTCTCCATCACCTACTCTGGTTTTCTGAATCAATCTGACAGCCTGCTTCCACCCACCATTTTTTACAAGTGTTTTGCACCTGTTGTGATCATTGTTGTCAGCAGCTTTTTCTATAACCTTGAATGGCTTTCATTTGACCAATGTTGCCTGGCTTTACAATGCAATGTACTGTACACTACCCAAGAGCCCCAATGCCCTTGTGTACTACACTCTAGTCCACATCATGGCCCATCTGTCTGCCACGCAACCACACTGTAAGTGCTGCTTGTTGTCTTACACAGAGCACCTGTTGCTGTCAGCTGATATATTGATTATTGGCAGTTGCCCAATATGAGGGATGCATGAGGGAGGGCAGTTCCCCAGGCCTTAAAACACTGGTATTGTAGGCCTGTTTTGCTCTAGATGTGACAGCTTGGGCAATTGCCCAATTTCCTTTTTGGGAATTTTTTATGCAGGATCGTAGATCTTGTTGAGGTGATCCTGCTAGTATTCAAATGACATCATCAGCATTAGTTGTTGTTGAGAAAAATGCAAAAGAATTTCGAGACATTGGTGGTTTTGAAAAAAAAAAATTGTGCAGGGTTGTAGATCATGATCAGGTGATCCTAAAAGTACTTGAATGACATCACCAGCATTAGTCATTGTTGAGAAAAATGCAAAACAAAGTTGATTCCCACAGTCACATGGCCTATTATTTAAAGAAATATCAATAGCCTCTAGCAATTGTCTAATGCTTCATATGAAGAGACTTTAACAAAATTTGCCAAAGTCCAACTCACAATATGTGACTCTGTGATGCCATCAGCACCATTGATGGACTTATTGCATTTGCATCACACCAATGCTAGGTATAGCAGTCATATATTTACTATTTGTTTGCATTTGAGGCCAGAGTATCAAAGTTTCGGAGGCTGAGCATGAAGAAAAAGGCAAGTTGAAAGTCACATGACTTGTTGATCTACTTGGCATCTGTCACATATCACAGTCCATAACACCCCTCTACGTCATTTTTACAGAGCAATTGCCTCTGTTTTATAGGGCTGGAGAACTGTCCTCCCTGAGGCATCATCAGTTTTGGGCAACTACTCAGCTTCATACATATCACTGACAGCACTGGCTGTCTCATTCTGCAGACACAGGTCATCATGCAATGGGCATGGACGGCGCCTTCGCAGGTGCAAATTCTTCAATTCAACAGCCAGGCGATCAACGTCCTATGTGTTTCAGATATCAACCATGCCTGCACTATGCTATACATTCTCTGACTGGCACCTCACTCCAAAGACCCGTCCACTTGGTTCATTGCCATGACTGACCCGACTATAGTGCTGTTCATCCACCACTGGGGCCTTGCCCAGTACCTGTTGAGGTTGGGCATCCCTTTCTGCACCGTCTGTCCACAGGCCTTGGTGCCAGCTTCCGATGAGCCAGCATCAGATGAAGACCCATGGCTGCCGCCATGGAGGGATCTTTTGATGCAGAGACAGCCCTGGTCACTGCCTACCCGCAAGGACTACAAGGACTACAAGGACCACCGCAAGAGCCTGTTCTGCTCCAAGCTGGGGCCCAAGATGCACAGACGTGGTGGTATCATCAGGAGAATGGCCTCGGACGTTGTCCTGGAGTTCCACACACTCCGAGGTCCAATGGTCTGTGATGACCCTGGTAGGCGTTGATTTCGATGGCACCATGTCCTGTAGTGACCATGTCCCTCAGGCCACTCTCAACACCGTGTGCGGCCTCTACAACATTGGAAACGAGTACTTGGTGTTGTGGTGGCCGACCCAGCCAGAGTGGAGATGGGAGGCCCTCGACGCAGACCATTGGATGCCAGACATGGAGGAGTGGTACCAGAGGCGGTTAGCGGCACTCGAGAGTGGGTGAGCCAACACCAAAGAAAATTGGCAGGAGGGCCTCAGCCTGTACAGCAGGCCAACCAAACATGTACTTGAGGGTAGCTGCAGGCTAGCACAAGACTATATCAATTGGTGTATATAATTTGAAAGTGATTCTACAGGTACATGTTTACGAGCGACTCTATGATGGTGTGTATCACCTCTTTCTCAGCATCACATATCAAGCTTGTTTCCACTTCTGCCTTGAGCACATCATATTTCACTGTGCTGTCAAACGAGGGATGGGCAGCCATGTTTCCAGCCTTGCATATAGCAGAGGTGCTTTTGCAAATGATCTTGAGTGTGTGGCTGGAGATGGCAATGTTTGCGAACATTGGTTTGTTTTTGATCAGCCCACGCATGTATTTGATCCAGTCATTGATCGTCCAGGTGCTTTGCTCATCTAAATACCTCCTCCAGGCCCTTGAAGGCGTGTCGTCTATAGATAAGTTGGCCTGCTTTGCAAGAGCATCCTGGATGTTGTCAAGAATTGTGCAAAGTTGAAGCTGGAATGACACCTGTAGTGACCAGCAATATGTATCAAATTGGACTACTACCCAGTACCTATTATACATCAGAATGGGTAGTAGCCTGGTGGGCAACTGCCCAAGCCCAGCATATAGAGGACGTAATGAGATGATTAATAATCATTCCTTTTTGGGCAAAAAGTATCTGGGTTTGTGGAGCACCTTTGGACGACCCTGAATCAAGTTGTTTGATGCCATCAGCTGCTCTGGTTGGTGAGAAAAATGCAAATTACTGAAAAAACAGGTTGTCTTTTGCAAATTTTAGCATTGTTTGGCTTATATCTTGTCATTGATGCAGTCAAATAGGTCATGCTGATGATGGCAGGGTCATCTAGGCCTAGAGTTTCTATTTCAACCATTTCTTCCCAAAAAGAAATTTTCTCATAGTCACATGACCACTCAATTTCACTTTTTTGGCACCCCTAGTCCCTGTCTAGACATAGCAGAAGAGGACTTAGGCAAATTTTTGCAAAGTCCAACTTGTCACAAGTGACTTTGATGTTGATGGCATCAGCAAACTTGATGGCTTTATTGCTCTTCATCAATGCCAAGTCTGGGCCTGGCAATCATGTATTTATTAATTGTTTCCTTTTGAGGCCATAATATCAAAGTTTCAGAAGCTGACCCTGAAGGAAAAGGCAAATAAAAAGCTACTATCCATCCTGATGTATAATAGGTACTGGGTAGTAGTCCAATCTGATATATATCACTAGATGACAAGGCTGGGAATGAAGCCTGTGCCTAGACATCAGCTGGTTGCGATGGGATTGGTGGTTGACTCACCTGCTTCAGCTTGTTGAGCTCATTCGACATCTTCTCCTTCTCCACCCTCAAGGCCCTCTCCCTCTCACTCCACTCCTCCCTCAAGACCCTCTCGCTCCTCCCTCAAGGCCCTCTCCCTCTCGCTCCGCTCTTCCTCCAGCACCCTCTTGTTCCTCTCCCTCTCCTCCAGCGTACTCTTGCTCCTCTTCCTCTCTTCCTTCAAGGCCTGTCTCAACTCGTCCGCTATACCCTCTATTTTTCTCATGCCCTTTTCCATTGTGCACACGGCCTCTTTCACCTTCATCTCTGTCGCCTTCTGCTCCACCTCTAGGGCGGTCCTAAGCTCCCTATTTTTTTCTCGCTCTTTCTTTATAATGTTGGAACATTTGTGAATTTCAGTCTTGCCCTTCACTATGTCGTCCTTGAGGGTGTACTGTCTGTCAATTAGATGTAGGAGGAATTGGCTCCTGAGGGCATCAGGAACAAAGGCAGCAACCAATGGCAGCGTTTTGTCCAGTTTGCCCCATGAAGGCACGATGGCACACACATGGTCTCCTTTGGCCACCAGAGTGGCAGCCATCACAGGGGGGGCCTTGAGGTCCTGACGTTCAAAACTTGTATATCCTAGCCAGTCTGAAGAGGGCGATGATGTAAAGAGAAGGAAGTTATGAAAACTTCACCTACTTGAGAATAAAACAATAGATTCCAGTCCCAAGAGCATGTGGCACTCCGCATCGAGTTGGGCTTTTTTGCACATGTCGGTGAGGTGTTCTTGTATCTTCTCGTGGGCCTGCATGTGGATGTCATCCACCATTGAGTTTTGGTACACCACGACCTCTGCATCCATACAAATTTTGGGGTTGATATAGTACAAATTCAAAGCATTCAAGCTAATGACAGGGCCGCTCGGTGTTGCCGTGATGCCGTGGGTAGAATCAATGCTGTTGGTGTTGGGTGGGCTCATAGTGGTAGTTGAGTGGATTGTAGGGCATTGTAGATGCCCCGTTGTCCTCCCTTTGCACCTCACCATGTAGATGCCACAGAGCTTAAAGTGTGGATATCAGCCTAATGGCATGCAAATTGTATTAGATAATCATATTTTTTGTCCGCCCCGAGCTGGAACAGGGTGCTCTCCCCACAACCTCGTTGACACCCACCGACGAGTGCATTCCCATGGCCAGTCCGCCGAATAAGAAGCGCAAGACGCACCCGTCAGGCAACGAAGAGCATCAAGCAACAGCGCATGCCCCGCGATATGGCAAGCAGCTGGTCCTCTGCTCTCCATGGCGAGCCTTCATCAAACGCTATCTGTTGCCTGACTCTCCAGAACCACCCTCAGCGCCTGTCCCCAAAATCGGTCCACCATTGCAGGCTGAGTGGATGCCTGAACCTCCCCCCGCAGATGATGCATGTCAGCCTGTCGCTGTTGCAACCCATCCCTCGAAAGGCTGTCCTGATGTTGTGCTCAACCTCACGTCCTTCTGCCCCCTGCTGGTTTGCCCAAGTTTTTGTTGCCCAGAGAGGCAAAAACTATTGTGTGGCAAGATGGCACTGCCACCAAGCTTCCCTGGCTGCCCAAGCCTGACAATGCAAAGCAGAACTTGCTTGCAGATGTACGTCCTTGCATGTTCTGCTAGTTCAGCCTTAATGCAGATCACAGCTCACCTTCCATGTCAAGAAGCTTGCAGAAATGTCCAAGCCGTCGACCGACACCCCCTGGATCATCCACCTCAAGCGGTCCGACTTTGCCTCTGACTTTGAGCTGGGCCAATGCATCTGTTCCGAGCTCACCTGTAGCTGCCACCCTGAAGTATAAAAAATGGACAGTTGTCCAACAAAGGTTATACATCAGTGCACAACTATCCTCTTGGACAACTGTCCATTATGAACAGTTGTAGAGTGATATAGATGGCTATTAGATGTATTTAGTTTGTTGGACAGTTGTCCAATATATTTAAAAACATTGCTGACTAATATTTCCTTTTTGGAAAATGATGAAGGATCTTTTGATGACCCTGAATCTACTTGAATAATAGTGATATTCCTTATCATTGATGAGAAAAATGCAAAATATTTGAAAAATCCTGGTGGTTTTGAAAATTTGGCAATTGTTTTGCTCATATCTCAATGTAAACAATACCAAATAGCATTATTTATATAGTGCCAAAATGAGCTAATCTGGGGCTTTCCAGCTACATTAAAACTTTCCACAAAGGAAATTCTCATAGTCATATGACATGGCAAATAGTTGTTTAAAAGGATTTTTGCCACATTAAACAAATTTCCAAAAAAAAAAGGAAATTCCCACAGTCATGTGACTTGGCAAAAAATAGTTGCCTACACTTTGGTCAATTGTTCATACCAACAATAAACTGGACTTGGATAAATTTTTGCAAAGTCCAACTTAGCATTTGTGACAGTCACACTGATGAGATCAGCAATAAAGATGGCTCTATTTCTCATAAGTCACACCAGCATCAGGCGCCATCACTTCATATTTATTAATTGTTTCTATTTGAGGCCAGAATATCAAGGTTGCAGAAGCCAAGCCTGATTAAAAAGGCATTTAAAAAGTCACATGATCCTCTGAGCAGACTTGGCATCACAGTTTTATTTCTATATATATCTATTAGAAATTTTGCATTGCTTCAGGCAGGCACTCATCATTGTTGGACAGTTGTCCAAAAGGATAGTTGAAGGCTCTGATGTATAACCTTCAATGGACAATTGTCCATTAAAATATCTCAGGGTAGCGCCCATGGCTGAATACACAGCATGAAACCATGTCGGTCGTGGAGATAGTTGATGACGGAGAGATGGGAAAACCCAATCTCACGCTTGATGGCAGCATCGAATCTTTCTTCACAATCTGGGGCGATGGGCAGTGGGCATACAAGGCTGATCTGGTGGCAGGTACTCTCTCTCACCACTGGGTCTGACGTTGGGCACCTATTGTACTGCCACCCCCACGTGAGCCATATTGGGACCCCTGTGCTACACAAGTGGGTCAGGAACCTGGCCCAGCACGTGGTGTAAGGGTCCAGTGCACCGCCTCTGCATGTTCTCTCACTAAAGTCAAAAATGATTGACACTGGCAACAAGGAAAATAACTCTTTGTCAAACAGCCAGCCCGCGTTGTGCTCAAGCACCCACATAGCCAACAAGAGTCGGTCCCTCATCCCATCCGTCAACCACAGAGCAAGGGCAAAGGAGCAGAGGGCGACGAGGCTTTTGAACGCAGTGCGAGATTTCCGTGCTTCTTGGAGGGCGACATCAGCAGTTGGGTGGGTCGACTGATACTAGAATCAGGAAGGACGGGAGGGGTTTGGGATGAGGGAGAATGCATCGCAGTCAGGATGGTTGGCCATGAGGGCCTCGTATACCGAGAATAAAAATGATTCAAGCCTGACCCATGATGACTGGATATGTTGGGCTTGAGTTGATATCCCCATGTGCCCCCTTTAATGGTGTTGGGCCCAGTCATGAGCTTGAGGTCCCTGAATAACAGACAATCGTCGAGTGATCGCTTGGAGTAGAACACCATAAACACCTGATCATCTTGTAGGAAAGCAGGCCATTCAACAATGAGAGGAGTGTCTGACCAAGAAGGAGGTGCTCCAGTCACAGAGGCAACGAGGCCGCCATTGTAGGTCCAGTAGGCGCTGACCATGGCTGGAGGGGGCATATGCACATGGGCAAAGTGGGTAGATAAAGGAGGCCCCTCATTAAACCTGATCGGGTGTGTATCGTGTAGTTGGTATGCCGATTCCTTCATCTTGAGCTGCAGGGGTTGCAGTCACATGGGCCTGGGCACGTCCTTTGTCCTTGGAGTGCAAACAGTGTTATCGGACGGTGTTTGCAGAAGGCGACCCAGTGTCCTAAAAGAGGCCAGCAAACCACGACCAGACATGACTTCTAAAGGCTAATGGCTGCTTCTTCGCAGATCGTGCAGACCTTTTGAATATAAATGGTCGACTCAGCCTGGCCTCAATAAACACATGATTATCTTTTTGGACATGGAATATGATACAGGGATCCGCAAAAAAACCCTCAAGTTCAATATAAGCCATGTCAAATGACTCGCTCACCATCCATATGTGCTACATGACGCAGTAAGTCCTCCACTGTCTCTACCCTCTCCCGTAGCTGATGTTATCCAGAACCACCAATGCTATTTCTGGCCCATTGCTATTGGCCTCTGGGTGCTTGATATTCCCTTTGCAAGCACGCATGCTGTACGAGCGGTACAGATTTCAATGTCACTCGGAGTCTGACGCTCTCCCAGCCAGACCCTCTGCTTCTCCCTATGCAATACTGGAGGTCAGGATGGCAGCCTGACAACTTGGCATCAACCAGCCCTTGGAACGCTTGCGCACTACTGTCATACAGATCCTTGGGTGCTACAACCAACTCATTGACCGTGATCAGGTCCACACCAGACACGACGTTTACATCGCCTACACAGTACAAAACTTCAAGTTCGTAGAGTGTGCCTATGCAGACAGAGGCCAGGTATTCATCCTTACGGAATACGGCACTATCAACACGAGAGGCCCCATTGTCATTGTCTATGACCCTTTCGTCACCCTTGCATTGTATCGCACAGCTTGCTTGTCTGACATGCGTGACGTGATGGGTGTTGCAGTGAGGCTGGGCGCCAGGTTCAATCTCGTACATGCCATCCCAAACAATTCACCCCCGATGACGACTTGCAGAAGAAAACACGTCTGCATGCAAGGTCACAGATACGCCTCCTACGTGCGTTGCCACAATGTGTTCCTCCGCAATGAGAGAGGGCACATTGCTATCAAAGCTGGCGGTCTCATGGCACGTCTCGCAGTAGGAACAGTCAACCCCAATAACATCTACAACAGCGCAATTGCAGGGGGCGATCGCAAAATTGCCATGTTTGGCTGGTACGATCTCTATGACGGCTCCTTGAGTCGAAAGGATGTCTCTGTCCTGTGTGGAGTTTACTATACCTGCCCATGTTCAAGGAAGCTGTCCTCATGGTGGCTGACACCCGACATTTGGGCGGGTTGTAGGTTAGACTGTGAGTTTTGGACTCCAGAGGCTGAGGATTGGTTCATCAGATGGCAGGATCAACTCGAACAAAATGCAGTTGACCGGGCGCCGACAAAGACAGAGTGGAGGGAGCGCCTGTGCCCTGTTTTGGCTGCCTCTCGCCATCTCATGGATGGGTGCTGCAAGCATGCTTATAGATTCATGACTGAGCGCATGTAGACACCTGATTTGTACATATACAAGGACGTGCTGTTGGTATCCAGCACAACACTGCAGGTTCTCTCCTTGCAGTGATGGATGGGCCACAATGCTGCCCATTGCGCACATTGAAATTAGCAGTGCAGTTTTATTTAAATCACATTCCGCAATTGGAGATTGCCATCAGTATCATGGGAACTTGGCTGCTATTTAAGGGCTTTGGCTTTCTCTCTCTCTCTCTCTCACCTTGTTGACACCCACTGACGAGCACACTCCTACCCCTTATGATGTCTGCACGCAACCATGATGTGATTGAAATGTTTCATGGCTGGGAGAAAGAGTTTGAAGATGCCGTCGACAATGACAATCGGCTGGTGTTTGTGGCCAGGGTAGTCACCCACAAGGTGGTGAGTGCATCCTGTGCCACATCATTTGCACCCTGCTCAAGACCCGGCTGTAGCAGCCTTTGTTGAAGGAGGCCAAACAAGATACTGCTCTGTACAACGCCATTAGAGAATACAAAGGCTTCATATTGACACTCACCAAGGCATGGAACCACAAGACGTCCGTGGCCAGGTTTATCAGGACAGCAGCTGCTGTTATCTGGAGAGAAACACTGCCTCAAGAGTCTTCTTTGGTGGGGCCCATAGAATCAGACCTCAACCCGCCACCCGCTGCCCCATTGTCACCCTGCGCTGAGAGCCCTGCTGCTCCAGAAAAACCTGTCAACCCACCCCCCACTGAGAGCATTTGGTCTTCCAGCCCGCCCCAGCCACCAAGACTTGACAAGGGCAAGGAAAAGATAAAGCCCCGTCCCACCTTTGGCAAGAGGACAGCCAAGGGTAAGTGCTGCCCTTCACATTTGGTTCGGACACTCACAGCTGCACTAGGCAATAAGCCAGGTAAATATATCAGATACTGTATTTAAGCAGGGTATGCTCATATGTCAGGACTGTGATTAAACAGTTCACCCATGGAGAGGCTGTTGCCATGCATGCCGGAGCCCAATGCTGTGGGCAGGACCTGTCAACACAAGCAAACAACACAGGAAACAATGCCTGAGCATTGTTCCTCATTGTTTTCGGTGTTCCTGCCACCGTTTTTGACAGGGAAAAGCTGCCAACGACAAGGAAACATATTTCCTTGTCGTTGTGCACTATTTCCCCCATTGTTGGAGGGTGGGATTGGGTGGATTAGGCCAGGTACATTTGGATGATGCGGCCTTTTTCTTGGGCCCAGGAACTATTTTTAGATAATGTTGTAATTACAATGACACATCCCTTTTAATGCTCTTGCCATCGTCTGTCACAACGTCCGGGGAGGTTGGGGGGTATCTTATAACACACAAAAAAATTACAAAAAAATCATATTAAATTGAAATAAAATATGTACATAGTGTGGGCGGCTCTACCAGCCACCCGCTATGAAATAAAGAGATAATGAGTAGAAATGATGCACTGTGATGCATTGTTTCTGCTCTTGGGGGTACCTGGTCATCTGCACAGGCCACCCTCTACCACCCACTGCCACAGCCGTACTCTGTTGGCCCAATGGTCCTGTTCACTGCAGTGGTCCTGTTTGCTGCTGTGCTTCTGTTTGCCACCGTGGTCCTGTTTGCTCCTGTTCACCACGGTTCTTGTTTTCACTGCTGTGGTCATGTTGCCACCACATTCATGTTGGCCTTTGGTAGCTCTGGTTGCCCTTGCATTCGCTTCAGCACCATCTTGCTGGCTGTATGCGGGTCGCTGTCCTCCCTCCTCCTGCTCTGTGCCCCTCCTCCTGCTCTCCACCCATCCACCTGCTCCTCCCTCAGCCATGTCAGCTATAATTCTATATCAGACCCAGCATTTAGCCAGTGTGATCTCATAAGTCCAGAGTGTGTTTGAGCAGTCAGGGTCTCCAAGGCTGCTGGGGTGAGTTTGCTGGAGATGCCAGGGCCATAGAGATTTGTTTGGGGGCAGGAGGGGGTAAATAAATGACCAAACAATTCTCCCAGGGGTGGGGCAGGCCTGTGGGGGGCAGGAGGGGTGGGAAAGGCATGGTAAGTCCATCCAAAACAGGCAGGGATGGTGGGGGATGCATGATAGGGGCTAGTGGGTGACATCTGGTGCTTTGGGAGTTCATTTTGCATATCTTTGCATCTACTGCTCGGAATCTCATCTGGTTTTTTGCAGTCTCTTTAGAATATTAATAGGTTCTCATATACGAAGTTTGGTAATTTTTGAACAAGTCCAAGGTAGTCATTTTAATTATTTTCATGTTTCTCATGCATTTTCAGCTCTTTCTCTAATATCATTTCCCCCAGGCATCGGAGCCTCATCTGGCACTACTGAAATATGCTAATGGACATTCTCCTGACCTGAAAGCACTATTGAATGGGTGCAATATGCAGATTTGGTAAGTATTTACATAGATACTGATGTGGGGGACTACCTCCTCCTTCTCCCCTTAATAACTTTACACAGAGTCATCCCCTTGCCCTCGCAAGTATCTCGTTCTGTTTCTACACATTTATCGTCATTTATCATGATTTTACATGTGCCAATATCTCCCATCCTGGATGTCAATAGAATATCTTAGATCCTGTGAAATTGGTCAATAACCCAGCTTCAAGGCCATATAAAAATATGTTAAAATATGTTAAATTCATGAATAAATATACACTATTCACATACAAACTTTCAGACTTTCAGAGGTATGTTTAGTAGGGTATCCAGAGTGGGTCTCCTGGTGTACCTATACCCCCCCCTCAGATATACTGCACCCAGACACCCCCTGGCATTATCAATGGTACTATTACTCTCAGGCATGTAATCCATGATTTTTGGCCAAGTGAAATGGCCCTAAATGTGCCCGAGGATGCATGGGTGCACCATGCATTATAGTAGCCAGAATCGTGTTCATCATATCTCAATGAGTTCTCACCTGTTTCACATGATCGAAGGGTCTACAGGAAGGTATCAATGTACCCAACATTTCGCTCAGCCAAAGCTAAGCAAAATAATGCAAGGGCAAGCCGGAATTATGCACGGATGTGCAGGCATCAAAATATTGCCAAATTTGGCAAAGCACATCAAACCCCACCGTGCACACTATTCCTGGCTGTGTGGCGCACCCCATAATTCATAATAAATACTCAAAATATTTATGAAGCACCCTCCACTATAGATACAAAGGTCCCCAAAGTTTCACAACAAAATATTAAGTTTCCAATTTGATATTCAATTATTTTGTATTAAAAATGCAAAAGACTCTGGATTTTTCGCATTTTTGGCTCCTCCAGCCCATCCCACACCCCGTGGGGGCCATGACAATTATTAGCATGCATATCTAGCTCTGTCCAACCCATTTTTAGGCCCCCACCACACCCAGAACCCACTCCACCATCCCACTAGCCCCTATCATGCATGCCCCACCATCCCTGCCTGTTTCAGATGGATTTCCCATGCCTTTCCCACCCCTCCCACCCCCCACAGGCCTGCCCCACCCCTGGGAGAATTGTTTGGTCATTTATTTACCCCCTCCTGCCCCCAAACAAATCTCTATGGCCCTGGCATCTCCAGCAAACTCACCCCAGCAGCCTCAGAGACCCTGACTGCTCAAACACACTCTGGACTTATGAGATCACACTGGCTAAATGCTGGGTTTGATACATGTTCCTGGCTTATAGAAGTGCCAAAGTGAACCCAGTCAACAAGCATGATACCCAGCCACTCATTGCGCAGGACGACCTACAGTCAACCTTGACCAGCCGGTACTACAAGCTCCGCTGCAAAAGCTGCCTGAAAAACAATTGTCTTTGCTGAGAGGTCGCTGGCAAAACCTGCTGTTTCTACTGCGTGCGGTTGAAGCACATATGCCTCTTTCCTGAGGAGGAACAAGAGTTGATAACCCCCTCTAAACCTCTTGGGCCCCCAGATCCCCAACACCCTTGAGCAGTGAAAGCTGCCTCTTCAAAGTCTACCAAAAAGATGCAGCCTGCTATTGACGACAGCCAATATGATGCCATCGAAATCAACAGCGAGGAAGAGACAGCCAAGGCTCCTACTAAGCGCAGCAATCAAGCTGCAAAGAGCAAGGCGAAGAGCAGGATAAAGGCAGAGATCAAGAAGACAGCACGGAAAGAGAGTGACAGAGACAGAGACAGAGAAGCCAACGAAGATGGGGATAAAGTCGAAGATGCCCCTGGACCCATGCTGCAATGTCAATGGGTGGCCAAGCCCCTGCCCTACATTCTAATTCCTGATGCTGTCCCTGACCTGCCCAGCACTGGCCAACTCTTGGACGGCCTGACCAACAGTGTCGCAGCAGGTGCAGAAAATGCCTGCCTCAAGTGGCAAGTACATGTGCTCAAAGACACGATCGTCAACCTCCTGCACACCTTCAGCATGGAGGAGCCCCTGATCAGTGGGAAAAGGACTGATGCCAACAAGGACATCATGCACACTCTTTTACGAGTAGTGTGAGACTTGGGGAGCGCACTGACAGTGCGTCAGTGGTTTCAGCCCAGAGGCTGTTGCATGTCCCCTCTACTCACTAAAACCCCTCTCTCTCATGTCCAATCCTCTGGCAATAGATTCTCATTGGTGAGAGTGCCTTGCCACATTTTTAGCACAATATTTTTGCTAATTTTTCTCCTGTTCAGAGGCTTGTTGCATAGAGTTTGGTCTAATTGAAGTCTTTGATTTATGTTGCTCACCCATTGGGCTGTGATTTCATTTTGAGTATGCATCCTGGTGTCATCCTCCTGTCTGTCTATTCACCATTCACATTGTATGAGCCAGATGAGATAAAGTGACTCTGATATGATAATTGTGGCAAACCTATTAGTCGCCTTTGCAGTTGTTGAGTCTGATTGTACCTTTGGTAATCCACATCCGAGGATTTGGCCTAGCTTTGTGTGTTTGAAATTTAGGCCTTTGCAGCTGAGGAGTTCTTCTGTGAGCTGCCACACAATTTGCTGACCTCATACTCGACATTCTGTGAGGATATGTTCCATTGTTCCAAGAGTTTCACATTTGGAGCACCTGGAGCGGTGTTCATAGTTGGTGATTTTCTCCCAGTAGGGAGCCTATTCCATGTGAGCTATGTATAGCTCAATAGAGGAATGCTCAGATCTTCTTACTGATATCTGGGCTTCAGATTGACCTGAAGATTGTCTTATTGGTTGGGATTTTCCCTGTGAGGTCTTCTACAGCCCCTCAGATGATGTCCAGGCATATCTCAGTGTCCCATCTGGGTTGGTATCTCTTCATTTTTTCTTCTCTGATTCCCCAGTAGAGCTGGGCCTGTGATAGTGTGCTGAGCATTGCCCCTTCCTGCTGTACACAAATGGGGATTTCCAGGTCCAGGGTGTCTGGTGCTTTTTTTTGGCACCTATCTTCATGAAAGCATCAGCTGCATCATTTCCGGCATCACTGCTATGTCCTTTGACTTTGGTAAGAATGGTTTTGCTATTCCGTGTTCAGAGGTTTGCAATTATAGCTTGGAACAGTTCCTTATTCATCAGGAAAAACCTTTTTGTCTTAGGTTGTCCTTAAGATCAGCAGCCAAGTCAGGTGCACCTCAGGGCACTTGTGCTGTCTTGTGGTTGTCCTGAGATGTCTTTACTGTCTTGACCTCCTCCTGGAGACATTCTGGGTTCTCCTTATTGGTAAATAAAATAAAATTTACACTGTCTGGGCCCATATAAACCATTTTCTCATGATCTTCTAGCTAGGACATATGGGAAAAGAAATGTATGCCTGATATTTATTTAGATGGACGATACTTGAGTTTCAATAGCAAACATCCTCCAAAACCAATAGAAAGGTATTTCAGAATATTCTTATATTCACTCTTCAAGTGCTTCATTGAATAAAAAGACACCAGGTATATTATTTGTGTCTCTGTAGAGGGGGAGTAGCACAGCAAATTTTGCTTATAGCAGAGGCAGAACAGACTCTCTTGCTCTGATTTTTTGCATACATGTAGATACATAGATAGTGCATGTAGTCTCAAATTTTTATGAAGATATGTCCAATATCGCCAGAGATATAGATGTGCGAACTTTTCTTATTGAGCAAAGTCAAGAACATCACATTCTGTATGCAAATGGTGACCAAACTGGCTGAAACTTGGTACACATTATCACATGGATGTATACTATTGGGTCCCAGAGTATAAATGCAATAGACATAGCAATTACGGAGATATTGCATGCAGAAACCCAGAAACTGCAAACTCTTTACAGGAATATTGTGAATTACATAGAAAGAATGCATTTATAAGAAAAATAAATGCCATAACCAGAATGGGCATAAAAGTGCAGTTCTTACAGTATATAATATATAGGTAATTGGACCTGATAAAGATGTGCTACTACACATAGCACCAACTTTGGGTGATTTATCACTGAAGCATACTGTGTGCTCAGCACAGCCACTGCTGAGTGCTTTGTCAAGGGTCAAGATAAAATTCCTCAGCAACTGCTTAATCAATCACCACAAAAATTTGCACACTTTTAGATACTATATATGCTCATGCACTTGTAAAATTTCAGACAGTCTCCTGAAGAAATGACCAAGATATTAGTGTTGCGCTTTCTCAAAAACCTGCATTGAAATATCTCAACCAATAACAGTGCGAAGGACTCATGAGCCAGGATCCATTAACAAGTATACAAAAGGTACCTGCATGCAAAATTTAAGTCTGATAGCTTCAATGGTTTTTGAGATATTGAGCCTCCAACTGCAGGCAAACACTACTAGGTGCTTTTCCAAGGGTCAATATGGAATTCCTCTTCAACTGCTTAACCAATCTCCATGAAAATTTACACACTTCTATATAAAGTATAGGCGCAGGCTATTGTAAAAATTTAAACATTTTCAGGACGAATTAACCGAGATACTAGGGGTGCGCTTTTTCAAAAACCCGCATTTGAATATCTCAACACATAATAAAGCGAGAGCTTTATAAGCCAGGATTCATTAACAAGAATGCTAGAAGTACTTGCCTGCAAATTTTCAGCTTGATAGCTTAAGCGGTTGTTGAGATATTGAACCTCCAACTGCAGGTGAGCTATGGCACACTGCACTCAGCACAGCCACTGCTAGGCGCTTTTCCAAGGGTCAAGATGGAATTCCTCTGCAACTGCTTAACCAATCTTCATGAAAATTTACACAGTGCTAGATACATTATATGCAAAGGTGACTGCAAATTTTCAAACATTTTTTCATTAAATCACCTGAGATATTAGGGTTGCGCTTTTTCAAAAACCCGCATTTGAATATCTCAACAAATAATAAAGCAAAAGCTTCATGAGCTGAGATCCATTAACAAGAATACCAGAGGTACTTGCACAAAAAATTTCAGCTTTATAGCTTAAACAGTTGCTGAGATATTGAGCCTACACTGCAAGAAAGTGCATCATTTTCAAGCTCTAAGTCATTTCAAACCCAGACAGGCTGAGCGCTCATACAGGAGGTGGAAGCTGAATATCTCAAGAACTGCTACAGCTATGGACATAAAAATTTACAGGCATTTACAATACATACTGTTGATAATTTCTGCAAAGTTATATGTTATTTGATCAAATATTTACTGAGATATTAGAGGTACACCTTTTCAAAACTGTGCAGACATAATATAAAAATTTGAAATTTTGGAATATCATTCATTCATATCATGAGATCACTGGTACAAATTTTGAGAAGCATAGCTGATATATTTCTTGCAGTATTCAGCTGGGGAGAATGGTCACATCTGTGCCATGCATGGCACAGAATCGTCACAATGAGTTGTGTGTCTCACAATCAACAAAGTCACATGATGGTCATGGCACATTGTTTGGTTGTCATAGCTCCACCAAACAAAGTGTGCAGCAAGTGTCGTCAAACCTGCCAGCACTGTACTTGTGCAACTCTTCCCATTCCCTTACCTCACCTACTTTCAAATGCACTATCTTCTCTTTTCAAAGGTATGTTTTCTATCACATATTTAATGATCTTCTTATTACTCAATATCCATATTTCCCCTTCACAGTGCATCTCTCCTGCCAGCGCATACTCGCATAGCCCCCAGCTCATGGTCTCAACAACAGGTATGTACTTATTTCTTTTTCATTTAATGATTAGATTCTCATGAACATATTCCAGAACATGGTGCAGGACAAGAAGAGAATTGAAGGAGTGGCAATGCAAGAATTGGGAAAGTGAGAATTTGGGAGTCAGGTGGCAGTGTGATGGGTACCAGAGTGAGTCATAATATTTTTTTTGTCTTCATCCTACTGACTATATATCTAGATTATGATATCTTCTTTCTATGCTATGGGTGAGTGCATATTTCAGTAGAAGGGGATTGTATTATAGCATACAGTACTAGTATTAGTGTAATCTGTTCAATGTACATTAGATAGAGAAATATAATTGAGTCTTCTTTCAATACATGAAGTGTGAACAGAATAAAAAAATAAAACATCCTGAATAACATCTACTGTAGTCTTAGCCTGTCCTCTGAGCATCTTGAGGACACCCTGAGGACGCTATAAGATTTTACACCTAGGAACATAGGCTTCAGGAGCCTTACTGTCCTTGGTGTCTTAGATGTCTCAGATTGTCCTCAAGAAGAAGATATCATAATCTAGATATATAGTCAGTAGGATGAAGACAAAAAAAATATTATGACTCACTCTGGTACCCTTTTTTTTTTTTTGATCAACAAAATATATAGCGGTGCTCAATGGCAGCCCGCTTGCTATCTACAAAACACATATGCTATGCAACCCAGGTACTAGGTAAACTACTTAAAGATGATCGCCCCCCCAACCAAGACCCTTTAGGCTCAAACACCTAAACTCCCCAGAGGGCAACCCACCTTGTGAAAGTGGTGCATCGGGATAAGAGGAGGAAACCATCGAGATTCTGCTATGCCCCAAAGTTGTTGATCGCTGTTCAGGGGCCACGCAGCACAAATGAGAATAAGAACAGCACCACAAGGTGGCAGGGTGTCTTGAGGCTGACAAGCCAAAGATGCACCTGCCTGAAACCAGATGCAGAAAGTTAGCAGCGCGCAACCTGCTATATTAGCAGGCCACAAGCACAGATGAATGAAGCAGGCACAGGTCTCTGACCCCTAAGGGCCAAGGGTGTCAATTCACCAATAAATCCTCCAAAAGAAAGAATAACCCCACCTGCAGCGATTATCTGACACCCGAGAGGTCCTGGCTGAAGCCAAACACAGTAGGGTTGTGCTTCAAAAACAATGCAATATCCCCAAGAAACCAGGGATAGTGTACAGAGTATCTATCATGGCAGCAAAAGAGAACATGCTGGCGAGACTGCAAAGCAGCCCCACAAGTGCAGCTGTGGGGCTCATTAATCTTGAAGTGATGGTAATACACTCCAATGGGCGCATGGCCAGTTATGCACCAGCAAACACGAGCAAACTCAGTGATGCTGTGTCTGAAGTATGAAAAGCCAAGATCCCCCATTGAGGTACAATGGCTGAATCAGCCACCCGTCAGGCTGTTGAAGCTCTAAAAATTCAGAGCCCTAGTAGGTTGGATCCTGGAAAGTGGAACTCCATGAGTCCAGGACTGAGTGTGCAGCTTGGGAGCAAAGCACATCTATAGAATTGTCCGTCTTGTGATGTCCAACCCTGACTTTAAGCTTGGTGACATACTTGTGTGCTTCACCATGGATATCCCACTGCAATGCGGATGGAATGTAGACAAAGGTGATGTGTTGGAGATCATCTGCCTCGAACCACTCTTAGAGAATGCGACAGATTGACAGGCTGAATGCCTGACCAGAGTGTACAGAGGGGTCTACCGCTCTGTGGGCCAAGCCCATAGAGTCAGTAAAGACCATAATATGTTGGCAGTTTGCCTGCTTGACAGCAAGGTGCACTGCATGCGCAATGGCATTGAGTTCCACATCTGGAGTGGTAACCCTGCCAGAGACATAGTGAGTCCTTTCGAGCTCACAGTATCCCTTGTAAATAATAGCGGCCGAAGTTGCCTGATACTGGTTAGACTGAGGGACAGCACTTCTATAAGCCATAAAAATATGTCAGACACTGTATTTAAACAAAGTATGCTCATAAGTCAGGACTGTCAGTTTACAATCAGTCTAACAAGGCAAATGAGATGATTAATAATTATTTATCTTTGGAAAAAAAAGTATCTGGGTTCATGGAGTACCTTTGGACGACCCTGAATCAAGTTGTTTGATGCCATCAGCTGCTCTGGTTGGCGAGAAAAATGCAAATTACTGAGAAAACAGATTGCATTTTACAAATTTTAGGATTGTTTGGCTTATATCTTGTCATTGATGGAGCCAAATAGGTTGTGCTGATAGTGGCAGGGTCATGTAGACACAGAGTTTCTATTTCAACCATTTCTTCCCAAAAAGGAAATTTCTCACAGTCATGTGACCAGCCAATTTTGCATTTCTGGCACTCCTAGTGTCTGTCTAGACATAGCAGAAGAGGACTTGAGCAAATTTTTGCAAAGTCCAACTTATTATATGTGACTTTGATATTGATGACATCAGCAAACTTGATGGCTTTATTGCTCTTCATCAATGCCAAGTCTGGGCCTGGCAATCATCTATTTATTAATTGTTTCCTTTTGAGGCCATAATATCAAAGTTTCAGAAGCTGACCCTAAAGGAAAAGGCAATTAAAAAGTCACATGACTTACCATCAGTCTTGGCATCAGTCACATAATGGAGATGGTCTGCATAGTGGTCCAGTAACTGGTCACTGGAGTGAGCTTCGGGCGCAAAGGGCTCAAAACTCTCAGTTAAGGTGTGGATATGCTCATCCACCTCCATGACGGTGCTCTTGACTTTCCCTTGCATAGCTGGGGTCATCAAGGCAGCAGAGCAGGCACGAGGTTCAGCCCGCTTGAGAAGCCTCTCACCCATCATGGAGCAAAGAGGATGCAGCCAGTGCTGTCAGTGATACATATGAAGCTGAGTAGTTGCCCAAAACTGATGATGCCTCAGGGAGGACAGTTCTCTAGCCCTATAAAACAGAGGCAATTGCTCTGTAAAAATGACGTAGAGGGGTGTTATGGACTGTGATATGTGACAGATGCCAAGTAGATCAACAAGTCATGTGACTTTCAACTTGCCTTTTTCTTCATGCTCAGCCTCCGAAACTTTGATACTCTGGCCTCAAATGCAAACAAATAGTAAATATATGACTGCTATACCTAGCATTGGTGTGATGCAAATGCAATAAGTCCATCAATGGTGCTGATGGCATCACAGAGTCACATATTGTGAGTTGGACTTTGGCAAATTTTGTTAAAGTCTCTTCATATGAAGCATTAGACAATTGCTAGAGGCTATTGATATTTCTTTAAATAATAGGCCATGTGACTGTGGGAATCAACTTTGTTTTGCATTTTTCTCAACAATGACTAATGCTGGTGATGTCATTCAAGTACTTTTAGGATCACCTGATCATGATCTACAACCCTGCACAATTTTTTTTTTTCAAAACCACCAATGTCTCGAAATTCTTTTGCATTTTTCTCAACAACAACTAATGCTGATGATGTCATTTGAATACTAGCAGGATCACCTCAACAAGATCTACGATCCTGCATAAAAAATTCCCAAAAAGGAAATTGGGCAATTGCCCAAGCTGTCACATCTAGAGCAAAACAGGCCTACAATACCAGTGTTTTAAGGCCTGGGGAACTGCCCTCCCTCATGCATCCCTCATATTGGGCAACTGCCAATAATCAATATATCAGCTGACAGCAACAGGTGGAGGATGGGTGTCTGAGAGGGTGGCAACGCGATACACTGCCTGCATCACCAACTTCTTCAGCATGAGATGAACGGGAATGAGACCAGCTAGGGCTTCAAGACCGCCTGTGGGTGAGATGTAAAAGGCATCCATAATCCAAAGAGCAGCTTTTACTGCATCCGTTTGAGCTGGTTGATGGCGCCTTTATTAGAGGCACCATTAAAATACCAAAGATGATAGCCGTATGTGGCAATAGGGACCACACATGACCGATAAAGGAAGTGTCACTGTCTAGGCGAGGGACCTCTGGTGGAGTTACAGAGCATGTGCATGGCTTGCACAGTGGTGAATGCCTTGGTGGCATAATAGCGAATGTGCTCATGAAAAGTGAGCCCACGGTCAAAATAGAAGCCCAAGTACTGCCAATAGGTCTTGGGCTTCAAAGGTGTATTGCTGGTATGCAGGGCATACCTCAAATCCAGTAAAGGGTTGTAGGCGTCACGACGACACAAAAAGTGGAACAACTCGGTCTTGTTATGTTCAAGAACAAGTGCAAATGCAACAAATAAAAGGTAGATAATTTTGTAGGCCTTATGCAGGCCCACATTATTATCATCAAGCTGTTTGGACTGGGCCAGGATGGTCCCATCATCCACAAAGGAGAGTAGTGTCGTATTAAGCAGTGCTGCCTTGATGTAGAAGAGCCTCATTACTGGAGCAATGAAAAGCTCTGAAATAACAGGCAAGAGCGCTAAGCCCTGCCTGATCTTCATCTTTGATCAAGATGGTATCAAGATCATTCTGCCTGTGTTTGTGGATGATATGACTCTTGCTTCGAGATCTGAGGAGGCATTGGACAAGTTTGTTGCTGAGTTGGCTACTCACTTCAAACTCAGGGACTTGGGACCAACAAAATTCTTACTAGGTGTAGAGATTGGATGCCACTTCAGTTACCCCTCTGGACCATTGGACTGCCTAATATAATAAACTATTTAAACCTGTTGGACTGCCTCCGATATAGATAGTTATAGATAGTCTAACTATAGATCTACAACTATATTAGTGCAACTATAGTCTGCAACTATATGTCTATATTGCTGACTATATGACTATACTAGTTCAACCATAGTTATTTTTCATACTAAAGACAACTATATATATATATGTCACAGAGTGTCTGAGGTCTTTTTTCAAACTATATAACTATACTATTTCAACTATATGTAGTTATATATAGATATCACAGAGTGTTTGGGGTCTTTCTTTAAACTATGTAGCTATATCTTTACATAATAAATTAATGCCGTTAAAGCAGACTGCTATATATAGAAATATTATATATAAAGTAATATGCTAAATTTAGTAGTTAACTTAATTTAGAAAATAACTATATAGAGGAAGTAACTAGATATAGTAATATACTTTATATAGAAATATCCTGTATATAGTATATATCTATATAAAGAGTATTTCCTTATTTAGAATATTTCTTTATTTAGTAATTTTCTATATTTAGAAAATAACAATTTTAGAAAATATTGACAAGTCTTTTATTAATAAGATAAATCTATTGAATATTCTACTTGCTATAAGAAAAACTATTGTTGTCTTTTACTCTGCTTGAAGTAAGTTATGAGAACAGTAGAACAAAAATGCATCTCAGTATCCTCAAGTAATTTTTGACTCAAGTATCAGTAAATAAAATAAGTGTCTAACAGTCTAATGATTTAGCATATAGCTCAGATCACTAGTTTCTTATATTCAAGATCCAGTAATTGATTATATGTATTTTATTAAATTGCTCATAAATAATAATACTCAAGAAAAAAGTTTTGAAATCAGTATAGCAGGTCACCAGAGCTAACTCAGACTATTTGAAATAACTGACTCCAGCAAAACACTTTTGATGTAGACAGTTAGCTGGAAAATGTATGACTGTCCTGCTTAATCACAGTTCTGGAAAACACTAATGATATTCACAGTTGTGGTTGGTGTTTCTTGTATTTGTCTTTGGTCTAACAGTTCTTGTTGGCCCTATCAAAATTCAGAGATGTTCATTTTTCAATATTATTGTATATGAAAAATATAATAATTGTGTAAAATATAAAATAAGACAGCTCAATCTTGCTATATTCAAGAATTTATTTAAAAACACATACTAGAAACTAATAAAGGGTAGACATGTCATCAATTGTAAATACAATTATATTACAATTGCCAGAAATGTAAAGCTAATTGTATAAGCCTTATTCAAACCTACATCTGTTAAGTGTGGACAGGTAGGGGAACACGCAAGGCAACAGTATGCCAAAGATGAGCAACTCAGGATAAGGGACTGAGGAGATATGAGGCTCTGAAGTCTGGAGTGAGAAACTGGTCATATTGGATAATACAGGATAAACTACTTGCCTAAAGTCCAGAGTGAGAAACTGGGGACTTTAGGCATCTGACAGCAGTCATATATATACTAAAGAACAAAGGGAAACCCAAATGGAGACTGGGAACAATAAGAATGATGAAGGTAACCAAGTGGATCTGGGATCTAATCTGTGATCAGATGCAGATCCAGAGATCAGATGAATCTACAGATGTATCTAGATAAGATGAAATAGAATGAGGATAGATCTAGACCACTTTGGGATGAGTCAGGTGATGTCACCTGATCATGTGAGGACACAGTCATGTGCAGTCATGTGGTCCAACCCCATATAGAAGTTGAGACATGTGATGGAAGTTTCAACACACCCCTGTGATCAAACATGTCTCAAAGTTCAAAAATTAAACCAAAACACCCATTCTGTCTCTGCAATATTGGACTTTGGGGATAGGTAAAGGTTTGGTGAACAGATCAGCAATCTGCTCAGCAGTAGGAATGTAATGAGGAGTGATCACCCCCTCATTGACTGCTTCACGCAGCCAGAAGAAACGGAGGTCAAGTTGTTTCATATGTCCATGATGCTCTGGATTCTTGGACACAGTAATGGCAGATTGGTTGTCAATATGCAACTTGGTATTGTGGGCCATTGCTTTGCATGGCAATTACGAGTTCATTTTGTCTCATATCTTTAGCTGTCCTATTTATTCTTTTATTAATTCTTCTGCACTCTAAGCAATAGGGCAAGTTTGATATTCTGACTGAGGAATCAATTACTGTACATAGGTATTTATGCCATGTAGAATAACATGAAGATTGTGT